TTGGTAATGCTTTGTATAGTTTTCATGTTTTATGTAATTTTGTATATATTTATTGTTTTAACAGATCTTGTGAGCTGCCCAGAGTCCCCCATTGGGGAAGATGGGCTGAGATAAATCTAATAAAATAAATAAATAAATATACTTAAGTTGATCAGAGAAAAAAAATGGACCAAAATGAAAAAGGGAGCAACTGATGCCAAATGGCTGGTTCATACTATGGGTGAAATCCCACTGTATGTTTCTGCTGCTGCCATGTATCCTTTCCATTATCTTCATAATTTGGTCTAGAGAGTCTCCCAGTTCATCTAAAGATTTTAGGAACATGCAAAGCCTATATGGAGAAGGACAATATTCTGCAGTGCTAGTAAACTCTGCAATCTCTAAACTTTTCACCCACACATTCTGGAACATCCACAAATATATGGCAGAATAATATGGGCATAGCTAAACTGCTTTGAAATATCTAGCTATGTTCATATTATTTTATAGACAATCACTCAGCTAAAAGATAAAGTAATTTTCTATTTTGAAATGTTACTTACTTGCTCACCTGTATCTAAATATCCAGCTCTCACTTAGAAGATTCATTTTTATACACACAACCCAAATCCATGGTATTTGAATTCTACTCCTTCCAAGTAGAGTATACAGGTAGTCCTCAACTTGCGACCACAATTGGGACTGGAACTTCTGTCACTAAGCAATGCAGTCATTAAGTGAGTCATGCCCAATTTTACGACCTTTTCTGCTGTGGCCTTTAGAGAATCACTGCTGTCATTAAGTGAATCATGTAGTTGTTAACTGAATCTGGCTTCCCCCATTGGTTGCTTGTCAGAAGCTCCCTGGGAAGGTCGCGAATAACAATCACATGACCCCACGATGCTGCAACCATCATAAACACATGCCAGTTGCCAAGTGCCCAAATTTTGATCATATGACCACAGGGACACTGCAACAGTCCTTCGTGCAAGGACCAGTTGTAAGTCACCTTTTTAAAGTGACATCATACTTCAAACGGTTGTTAAATGAACAGCTGTAAGTTGAGGACTACCTGTAATTATCCTTTGTTTTTCAGACTTCCTTGGATTTTGTGATGCAGAATAAAAAAATTACATACATATATTAAGTTACATGGAGGCAGATTTTTATTTTATATGTATCTAAAAACATATGTATAGGTAGTCCCCAGTTTAAGAATGAGTTCCATTCCCAAGGTCTGTCTGTAAATCAGATTTGTATGTAAGCCGGAACAGTATTATTATATAATACTGTATAAGAAGTATTGTGTATTTAACTCAAACAATTGTGTATTTAACTCAAATCATTGTGTATTTAACTCAAATTTTGCTATAATAGGCTCTGTTCTTAACCATGGGTCATCTGTAACCCAGGTGTTCTTAACCCAGGGACTACCTGTATATAAGATGGCAGACCAAGAATCACTTCAAATAGCAATTTGGCTTCTTCAAAAGATGTACATCATCAACTAAAAGTGTTTAAAATCCTAAATCAAAACCAGCATTTCTACTACATATAGCTTTTATCTTCTTTTTAATCTTAAATCTGTTAGCCCATATTCCATTTTGGCCCAATTTTTTGTTACTGGTTCAGAAATCCCAATGTCTTTTTAAAAACTGGTAAAAAGAAAAAAAATAGCTCTGTAAGCAATGATGAGTTCAAAGACTGAAAAATTGTTAATGTTTTAGAATTATTCTAATAACCAGATAACAGATGGAACCTTGTTGTAGGAAGGACTAAATTCAGTGCAAAGATTCCAACAGCTAACAAATTCTGTCAGTATAAAGGCATATGATGGTCAACATCTGACAGATATGGAGAAGTCCAACAATACTAGCACAGATGGATCCCAACACAGTATAGCTCCCAACACATCATTCACTAGATTGTTTCCTAGTGGTCCCAAAACCAGCTTGAAAATCATAGTCCAGTTTCTTTCTGAAAACCCTAAGTGGAGTCACTAATGTTTGAGTATACAGCTGGCTAGTAATTGTCCTACTTGAGGGATTTAAAAACTTCTTTAGTATTGGTATCAAAACAATAGTTGCTATGAATATAACCTTCATATAGCTTTAAATAACCTTAAATGCAATTATTTTTAGTATTTAATCAAATCACACATTCATCTGCAAGCCATCATATGTGAAGAAATCAAATAAGCCATCATGTGCAGCTTTTACTGTATGGAATAATAGTCGTTTCAAGCCTACTTATGTTTGAAGAGTACGACTGAATGTCAAATATACAATGAAACTTCTAAAGTAATATGAGTAATGACAAATTGGTCTCAAAGAAGGATAAAAACAAAATGTTCTTGATAAAGGTAATAATTCCATACTTAAATGCCTTATATAGTTTCAATATGGAAAGATTCTTCATCAAACCTGAAAGATCAAAGTTTAATTTCTGATAGGAGAATATAAGCAACAGAAGATTTTGGAGAGTGAATGTGCAAATTTACTATCAAGACTTTGGTATTAATAAAATGCAGAAAACCCACATAAGCAAATATCTTCAGAAATCCTGAATTTTGATAAGCAGGGGATTTACTGTCTTCTCTAAAGCATTACTAACATTTTACTATTTCTAAAATAATGCTACTCTTAAAAGATCTATAGCTATTACCCACATGAATACTCATAGTGGGTTGCTATTGTAGATGTGAATTGAATTTTAAACATTTTGACATCCATGTAAATCCCAACAAGTTCAATGAATCTTACTTTCTAGTCAGTGCTTTTAGTTCTAATATGTGTTCCTGTAATGGCAGCCATTAGCAAACTCTTTGGATTATAATGTCAGTTTACTATTACTAGTACATTATATTTTCAAGATTTCATCATTGTCATCATCATCATTGCACTTTTCTGAATAACTCAAACAACAAAGATTATTGAATTATATTGTCAGTCACATGCAAATTCATTCAGCAAAATTAATATTGTAATTAAAAGGTGGCAAGAATAGCAATAGAGATTTTTTTTAATCCCACCTTTTTCCATGTATTCAACATTGCTTGAATGGGATATGTTGACATGTTACACTATAAAATAATTAAGTCATTCTGTCATACTTGCAATACTACCATGAAAAACCTGATTTGTACATAACTACAATAATGATCTGTATCTGAGATTTATACACTGAAAATGTTTTAATGATGCACTAAACCCAACCAATGTCAGTTTCAGATATAAAATGTACTGCAGAACATTTTATAAAATTACGTTCAGTTTTAAAGCATAAAGGTTTAAGACTAATATGGCTTTATATATCACTGGATTATAAAATTCAGCTCAGTATCCATAAGCACATGCAGAAAGAATTATTATTCTGGCATAATTAAATTTAAGCATTTATAATTATTTAAATATTATAATATAGAAAACAAATATAGCGTGGAAAATATCTAGTTATCTTTGATAAGGAATTTCACAATAAATACATGTGAATACTGACAAATTTTAAGCTTTTAAATCCAAAGATAATTTTGATAGCGGAGCTCTTGAAACAGAAAGAATTCTTAAATCTGTTTTACTGGAGAATATTACTTTCAACATCAAGTATGAAATTATTATATAAAATGACAACTAATTTCTTACTGGTAAACTTGAAGGTCTCTCTTGTTGGATTAGGGACAGTTCTTCATGGTTAGGTTTGTTCTGGGTGACAGGGGGTTGAGACCTGGTTCCATAGCCTTCCTGAGACATTTCCTAGATAAAATATATATTTACATGTTAGTAGTAAGAAACACTACCAATGATAAAGGAGAGAAAAGGAGAGCAATTAATTATGGGACTAATCTAGTTCTATGTTGATAGCTTCTCCCCTCCCCTTCCCCGCAATTTCAACAAAGCCTCAGTATATTCCATACTACCTTGCAAACATATACATATTTAGCTGCTGAAGCTCTAGAGCAAGCATCCTTTAGATACCAGAACTGGAGCTCATACTATTTTATTGAAGCAACAAGTTGCAGTGATGAGAGTTTAGTGGCATGCCATTTGTTAATACTGTTTAGAGAATTAGTTAACAGTCATTCAATTTAACACAAGAGGACAGTCAAATTATACTGCTGGGGGATGGCAAAATTTAAGGTGCACATTGAAAAGTAACAATGGTTACTGGATATTGTACCTCTGCCTTTTCAGAAGGATTTAGGACTTTTTAGCGAACTAAATACACACATAGGCAACCATTGGCTGGAGACAGAACTGCTGCTCCTAGTCATTTTGTTAAAAATTTTGTATAAGCTCTGGGAAGAGACTATTTGATCTTTCAATATCTACATACAACACCTCCTTCAGAATCATATAAGTTCCAGAAAACTCTTGAATTAGCATTAAAGGAATAATCAAAGCAACATTTCTAAAACATACTGATAAATTAACCTCCCAATAAGATTAAGCAGAACCTATTTGTCCACAGCACATGAAGTAGGTCAAAGAGCCATTAGGTTAGGTAAATATTCTCTATTATTTCTGTCCCAAACCCTCTATTTGCTTAAATGATCTTGCCCTAGAGTACAGATTGGGGTTTCAGGAAAGTTCAGTTCTAGTCTTTGTGCAGAGATGTTACTTCCATCGTAGTCTAAATCAAGCTGTAAAGGTTAATCTATATTAATGGAATTTATTTGGGCTACAGTATAATTTTCAAGAGGAGGTCAGTGAAATGAAAGAAGGACCAGGCTGTTCCAAAAAAATTAAGTATACATTTAAACATCTTTTAATTTCATCAAAAGAAATAATAAATATAACAAGGCTTATGAAACAGATGTAGAAGCCAGTTTTCTTTATTGTTACATATACAGGTAAAGTGTATGCCAGAAAATAAAATACCTATTTTAGCATCTGTGACTAGCACAGAAAAAATGAAGAATGGAGTTTCCAAGTATAGACGATAAATTAACACACCTTTAATTTCAAAAGGAGATGAGATTTTGTATTTTTGTTTGTCTTCCTTCCCCTTTCCTATTGGTTAACAGATTATTCTCTTAATTTGGATTTTTCCCCCGTCTTTAAGTTTGTAAGTTTGATAAACAACTGAATGGGAACATTTATTTTTACATGCAACATTTTTAGCCTTGAAGAAGATGGAAATAATTTTTAAACACCACCCCCATAAGTGCATTCACACAGTTATGCCACTGCTTCTTACTGGCATTCTGTTTGGAGCGCCAAAAGGATCTGATCCAACTGACTGGCCTTCTGCCAATCCCACAAGGCAAGTTGGTTAAAGCTTTGTTGTGTGCATTAAACAGGCTACTGCCAAAGGGGTCCTCCAAGTACATAAGGTAGAATTTGTAATATTAAAAGTTTGGAGTCTTAATCATCACTGCCTTCTCATTTCGGCAGATTAAGAGAAATAAAGAATTTTTGTTCCAATTTAGATGGAAGTTCAATACAGTGAAGTCTGCTAGCAATCATAGTTTGACCTAGTCATTTCATTTAATTCTTATAGCAAAGATGTCAGTTACAATTTCTGTAACATAAAACAAATAGTGTTTTGGATTAAAAAAAAATATTCTAATGAAACTAATCAGTCAGCTTCTTTTTGATTCACATTCTTCTTTTAACTATGTGCCAACAAATATCTTAGAAATCCAGCTCTTCCATTTGGTTACCACCAATTAGGCTTAAGAGTGAGAGAGGCTGATGGGTGAATGATTATTATTTGTGATCTTCTCCTCCCTCCTCCCCCTAGAATTCTACTCGTGACACAGCCCTCCTGCTGGGTAGGCCAGCATGTTCCCCCAGACTAACAGCATGATTTAAATCAACAAATGGCACTCAGCCCTCCCTCAGTTAAAAAGCAATACACAAATGCAGGACAGCTTCCTAATAGGCAAACAAATGAGCAACCCTTTTTTTTTTTCCTTTGAATTAAATTCCTCCTCAGAGAGCTTGTTATCATTATAGAGGTGCCTTCAATAAATCCTCTGCAACAACAAAAAAAACCTAACACTTATAACACTTATATTGTTTATTCAATCAACTGTCTTCTTCCTCATTGACTATTCCACAAATAAGCAAGCATTAAAATAGAGCTGACTTTAAAATTTGAAAACAGGCTGTCAAAGTTGAGAGGAGAGAGACAGTGACAAACAAAAGGATTGAGGAGGAAAGGGCACAGGAGCGGAGGTAAAGAACAAGAACTGTACTTTGCATTTCTCTTAGCCAATTCCAAATCTGGAGAGGGAAAAGAGTTTCATTTAAAAACCTTCATAGTGGTTTAGGAATGGAAAAAAAAAATCAGATGATCAGTTAGGACTAAAAGAACACTGTCTTTAAAAATAAAACAGCATGAATTTCTATGCAATAATATTAAGTGTAGAGTCTTGGTTACTACTTATTCATAGTGTAAGCATTTCCTAATGCAGCTCAGACAGAATAACAGACTGTTAGCTATGTAAAATATGATCATGAATTACACTGTTACCCCAATCCAACGCTCACATACTTTTGCATTCCCACTGAAGACCCATTCATTTAAATTGCATATCGAATTGGATCCCTCCATTAAAATAAACATCATGTTAATTTCTAATTAATCATGTTGTTTTATTTGTTAAAATGTCACCAAATATTTTAGAAATAACCCACTACATAGATTTGCTGAATTGTCTAACTCATGCTTGATATGAAAGTCTGTTGTACTTTAGAGGGTAAAGCATCTTTGGAAGTGAAAAGGCATTACATCATACAGCAGCACCATAATGAAATCAACTAGTTCAGTTTTCCACAAAAGTTCTGACAGAATAAAAACATTCTCAGTAAATTCAATCTAGTAAGCCTATCAATTTTAACTGGAAAGGGCATTTAAAAATATAAACACACTACTGAAGAGGTCCTGTTCTTCGTAAATGGCAAATTGATTATAAATACTGGTAGCTCCTGAGCAAACATGTTTTTTATACACCATTTCTTTTCCCCTTCCAATTTTGCCTGGTTTAATTTGTTTTTCTATCATTAAATATGTCACTTTAAGCATATTCAGCCCAGGGCTCTTCTTCCCAAGTAGTAAAGTTATGAACCATCGATGGTGGGATTTGTTTGGAGATGGCCATGTCACTAGAATATGGTTACTTCTGGCAAAAAGAAATGAGAAGCCAAAATATAATTTGTTAAAGTTCTTTGTTTGGCTTGTTCCAGATGAAATAAACAATTGTATGTGCTCAGATGACAAGGTGACCAGGAAACAATCACGACTGGGCCACTTGTAGCCACACAGCTTGCAGAGGAGAAGCCTTCATATGGCTAATGTTTGGAGTCTAACATAAAACATGGTTTCCACGTCATCTGAAGGTAATTTGCATGTCTTGGGATAAAGAATTATAAAATATATCCTGGGAGGGTTGGGGTGAAAGAATTGGGTCTTTATACTGCAATTATTAAAAATGGGAGAAACAACCCAATCTTCAGTTCCAGAGACTCCAATCTTGGAGACAACAGAGCTTGCAATGCACAAGGAAGAGTAGTGCCCTGTCTCTTCCTGCCAGTCATGGGAGAAAATACATTATATTTTTAAAGCTTCAAGAGGCAAAGCAGAGTGTTGGGAGAGATTTAGAAACTTATATATACAGCTCTGCACAGAACAATTTCTGCCCTGTCTCTCTCTTTCACTCTACAACTTCATTAGAGCTACCCTTAAAAGTAAAGAGGCAGCATGGGTATCTGACATCAGATTTCCTAGGCCAAGATTAAAAACAGCAGTATAACCACAAAAGGCAGAGTCAGAATTTCAGCCTTAATGACATTTGAAAAGTATCACCTTAGATTTAACTCTTGATTGGGGAAGACACAGAAAAGGGAAGGACGCATGAGCAAATATATTACATCACTTTTATAAACAAAAGATACAAAAAAACTTTCTGTTCTCATGTGCATCAAACTTGCAGAGAGGCAGAGAAATGTGGATGAGTAGTACAGGTTTTAAAGTACTTGGCTAAAATTTTGCATTCAGTTTTTCTCTATTTTGGCAGATACCCAGAGATTGCATCATCAATTATCAATTCTAAAATAGCTGAAAATGCAATATCAGAATGCATTATGAGTTCCTTTCCAACCCAGACACAGGACAGTAAGCTACTTTCTGCAAAGCCACTTAGCACTTACAAGAATTAGTGACACAGAAGCCCCAGTATATAAATAAGCAAATAAATAAATAATGTTTGAAATACACAGCTCTATGTTCCTCAAATCCCTATATTCCATTCAGTGGAATCCCATCCATCCTCCATTTGGAGGGGAAGAACCAGCAACAAACAGGAAGATGAGATTAAAAATGTGATTCAATCTATTAAATAAGGTGATCATGTTTTACTTCTGTAAAAACCTTTAGCATAAAAATTGAAAATATTAAATGGGAAATAAATTAGTTTAAAATGCAAGAACACTGTTTTCCTAGGAAGTAACTTCACAAGTACTTCTAAATAAGATCATACCATAAACATGCTATACCCTACAAAATTATTGTCCACTTAATTAGGTAAGTGTGCTTAATCAGTCCAATTACAAAATCCTGCTTTAATAAATTATTTATAACCTCTATAAAATTAACATTAATTAGGTAATTGGTTAACCTAAATGTACAGATGTACAGCAGCCATTCATATTGTTTCAGAATGATACACAGAACATTGTAAGTTATTTTAGTTACAGTATTTGTGCAATGCAGTGGCTTGTAAAAGTAATATAAAGTTCTTAATGTATTC